TGCCCGGGTGGGCACAAGTCACTAATCTCCGTCAATAAATAATAATAAAAAGATAATAATAATAAAAATCCGTAAAAAACAAAAACATTGAATGCAGCCTAGATCTGCGGCTTTTATATATATATATAGACCTCACCCTCACCTCTCCTCTGTGATGATGAGCTTGGTTTGGGGCAATTTTTTAGCCTTAAGCGCCTGTGAGTATGACATCACAGGTCCTTTTATGGCCTCAACCACCTTAGGCTTCTCTTGTGGTGTAGTTATGGGAGCGGGGTTTTCTGGCACCGAACCGCGACTTCCACGTTTCCGTGGCATCCTCTGGGGCTTTGGTGGGAGCTGGGGTCCTTTTATGGCCTCAACCACCTTAGGCTCCTCTTGTGGTGTAGTTATGGGAGCGGGGTTTTCTGGCACAGAACGACTTCCCACGTTTCAGGGAATCCTCTGGGGCTTTGGTGGGAGCTGGGGTCCTTTTACGGCCTCAACCACCTGAGGCTTCTCTTGTGGTGTAGTTATGGGAGCGGGGTTTTCTGACACCGAACCACGATTTCCACGTTTCCGGGGAATCCTCTGGGGCTTTGGTGCGAGTTGGGGTCCTTTTATGGCCTCAACCACCTGAGGCTTCTCTTGTGGTGTAGTTATGGGAGCGGGGTTTTCTGACACCAACCAGCGATTTCCACGTTTCCGGGGAATCCTCTGGGGCTTTGGTGCGAGTTGGGGTCCTTTTATGGCCTCAACCACCTTAGGGCTTCTCTTGGGGTCCTCTCTGGTGTAGCTGTATGGGAGCGGGTGTTTTGGGAGCTGTCACAACCGAGCCACAGCGCGATTTCCATAAAAACTGTTATACCGAAGTACAATACAGACTTTGCTCACCGAGCTTCAGGACCTCATGAAAAAATATCGAGGTAAATACGATTTTGTGACATAAAACCAAATAATGTAGGTTGGAACAGTGTAGTGTAGTGTAGAGGAGTAGTGCCGTAGTGAAGATACAGTATATAGTGATAGTAACGAACATAGAGCTTATAGTAACTTTAGTGAGGTACAGTATATAGTGATAGTAACGAACATAGAGTTTATAGTAACAGTAGTGAACATTGTATATAGTAACAGTAGTGAACATTGTGTATAGTAACAGTAGTGAACATTGTGTATAGTAACAGTAGTGAACATTGTGTATAGTAACAGTAGTGAACTTGTGTATAGTAACAGTAGTGAACATTGTGTATAGTAACAGTAGTGAACATTGTGTACAGTAACAGGTGGCGGGAAACTCATGACCTTGTTACAGTGGGATGAGCTGAGAGAATAATAATAAGAACAACAACAACAACAAAAATAAACCAAGAACAAGAAGATCAAGAAGAAGAACAACAACAACTACCCCCCCTCCTCCCCCCCCCCCAAAGGAGTTACATAAAATCCAGATTACTGTGACGTCACGACTTGAGAAGCACGAACCCAAACACAGCTGACGTAAAGAACCCAACCTTACACAACCTTATTATTAGCCAGCTTATATAACCCATACGTCTAACTGATAAGCTGAAATGAGAGCTCTATATAGCGCCTTTGTCTGTACCTTAGTTTGTATTCCTCTGGTAAATACAGCGAAGACACGAGGTGGGTGGAGGTGAGAGTGTGTGTATGTAAAGGAGGGAGTGTCGGAGAGAGAGAGGGATTTAAGGCTCTCTCTCTCTCTCTCCTATGGCCAGGAAGAAGGTACAGAGAGAGCCTCACCTAACCTAACCAAGTACTTGGGTTTTTTGGCTAACAAAGTATTGGGGTCATACACAGGAGTGTTAGTTACAAGACTGGCGAGGTTATCCTAAAACTATATCTTGCGCTTGTGAGACCTCACTTGGATTACGCAGTTCAGTTATGGTCGCCGTACTGAGAAAGAATTCAGAGGAGAATGACAAGACTAATCCCGGGCATTAGGAACCTTGAGTCCAGAGACAGGTTAAAGCATCTTAATTTGCACTCCGAGAGACGTAGAGTGAGGGGCGATATGATAGAGGTGTATAAATGGAAGTCAGAGCTAAACAAAGGTGATATAACAAAGGTACTCAAACTATCCAACCAAGAGCGAACTCGTAGCAATGGTTTTAAATTAGACAAATTTAGATTTAGGCGTGAAATAGGTAAACATTGGTTTGGAAACAGAGTAGTGGATGAGTGGAACAAGTTACCAAACATCATCATTAACTCGAATACGCTGAATAGCTTCAAACATAGGCTGGACGGATATATGAGCGATAGGGGTTGGCCCGCTGCACTTTCCTCCATTGTTGTGTTCTTAATCAAATAAAAACCTAACCTGACCTGACCTGACCTAACCTAACCTAACCTAATCTAACCTGGCGTGTTATTGTTACAGATGCAGTCAGCAGTGTTGTTGTGTGTGGTGGCGGTGGTAGGAGGTGTTTCAGCCATGTCTGTGACCCCATTCGGCCATGTGTCTAAGGGCCTCTGTCCGAACATAACTAACAAGGAAGACTTTGACCCCGTCCCTGTAAGTATAACCCTGTCTGTCTGTCTGTCTGTCTTCATTTCTTATTCTCTCTCTCTCTCTCTCTCTCTCTCTCTCTCTCTCTCTCTCTCTCTCTCTCTCTCTCTCTCTCTTTTAGTAACATATTTATCACAGTTTATATCCTGAAATATTAACAGTTGGCTTAAGTTATATAACACTGGGCCTATAATATACTGTACTCTGAATATAGTGCATATATAATAATCCATATAGCTTTCCCTCCTGACACCTCCGCACACCTCCACACCTCTTCTGACACCTCCACATCCTTCCTGACACCTCCACACCCCTCCTGACACCTCCACACCCTCCTGACACCTCCACATCCTCTCCTCACACACCTCCCACCTCCCTCCCCACCTCCATCCCTCCCACAACCCCTCCCACACCTCTCCCACAGCACCTCCACCTCTCCTGAGCACCTCACATCCCCTCCTGGCTTACCTCCACCTCTCTGGCACCTCCCACACCTCTCCCACAAGCACCTCCACATCCCTTCCCTGACACCTCCCTTCCCTCCTGACACCTCATCCTTTCTGACACCACACCCCTTCTGGCTTAACTCCACATCCCTCCCTGCCTCCACACACACCCCTCCTGACACCTTCATCCCTCCTGACACCTCCACATCCCTCCTGATACCTCCACACCTCCTGACACCTTCACATCCGACACCTCCCACATCCCCTCCTGATACCTCCACATACCTCTGACACCTTCACATCCCCTCCCTGACACCTCCACACCCCTCCCCTGACACACATCCCTCCTGACACCTCCACATCCTTTCTGACACCCCCTTCTGACACCTCCACATCCCTCCTGATACCTCCACATACCTCCTGACACCTTCACATCCCTCCTCACACCTCCACACCCCTTCTGACACCTCTCCATCCCTCCTGATACCTCCACACACCTCCTGACACCTTCACATCCCTCCTGACACCTCCACATCCCTCCTGACGCCTCCACATCCCTCCTGATACCTCCACACACCTCCTGACACCTTCACATCCCTCCTGACACCTCCACATCCCTCCCCACACCTCCACATCCCCCCTAACACCTCTCCATCTTCCACAGTACCTCGGCAGATGGTATGAGATGGAAAGATTCTTTATGATATGGGAAAATCACATGGACTGCGTCAACGCCATCTACAATGACCTTGGTGAGTCTCTGTCTGTCTGTCTGTCTGCCTGTCTGTCTGTCTGTGTGCGTGAATGTCTGTAACTCCAACGTATAAATTCCCATAAAAAAAGTTAAGTTACCATTAACACTGGTTTCGAACTGTTGCTCTCAGGTGAAGGTGAGGTTGAGGTCCACAATACAGCCAGGACACAGGGCGGCGCCTTTACGGATATCATTGGTAGTGCTGAGGTGACTGAACCGGGTGTACTACTGGTTCACTTCCCAGGTCGTGAGTATTATGCCTCATCTCTCTTCCACTAGTTTTCTCCGAGGACATCAAAGGGACTCTGTAAACACAAATATCAAGGGACTCTGTAAACACAAATATCAAGGGACTCTGTAAACACAAATTTCAAGGGACTCTGTAAACACAAACATTAAGGGACTCTGTAAACACAAACACCAAGGGACTCTGTAAACACAACTGCATTATACCCTAAAAAATGCCTTTAAACTTCCTTATTTTCCAAGACAATATTAAAGATACTAACATTACTTTTGATCTTATTTTACCTTTCTGTGACCCCTCTGTGACCTCTGTCCTACCCACAGACGTCGCGGCGAAATACCATGTACTGGATACTGACTACGAAACCTTCACTGCTGTGTACAACTGTGTCCAGGAAGCCAATCTGAAGGTAAGTTGGTGTACTGGGTGGGCACTATGCTACTGGGGTCATAATGGGGTGGGTACTATAGCTACTGGGGTCATAGTGGGGTGGGCACTATAGCTACTGGGGTCATAATGATTTGGGTACTATAGCTACTGGGGTCATAGTGGGGTGGGCACTATGTCTACTGGGGTCATAATGGGGGTCATAATGGGCACTATAGCTACTGGGGTCATAATGGGTGGGCACTATAGCTACTGGGGTCATAATGGGTGGGTACTATAGCTACTGGGGTCATAATGGGGTGGGTACTATAGCTACTGGGGTCATAATGGGTGGGTACTATAGCTACTGGGGTCATACACACTATCTTATTAACGCACTCTATCATTCTCTCACGCACTTTCTCATTCTTTTTCTTTCTTTTTCTCTGTCTCTTGTTTGTGTAAGTCATTTTTTTTCTTCTCTGTCTTTTTCATTCTTTATCTTTCATTGTCTATCTGTCTCTCTAATTCTTTCCCTATCTCTCACATAATCTAACTCACATCCTCTCTCTCTCTCTCTCTCTCTCTCTCTCTCTCTCATTCTCTCACTTCTCTCACTCTCTCACACAGTTCGAGTACGCTTGGATCCTCTCTCGGTCGATGACGATGGATGAGGCCACGTTGGAAACAGCTCGCCAGGTCTTCATTTCCAACAATATCGACATTAATTTCTTCAGTACCACTTACCAAGGTGATGACTGCCCTTACTTACCCTAAGAACGCCACCAGTCATTCAACCACTCAGTCAACCAGTCAAACAGTCTGTTACCATCCAGTTGTCTTAGGAGATTGAGAGAGTAATTGACCTCCCTGTGTATGAGTAAATTTGATATCCCTATTTAACTCTATTATGCCTTTGAAATTAATCATATATAGTGATAATTAATCTCTATGTCATGTACTTACCTTATGTACTTATTCAATTCGTTAAATGATAATAAAGTGTTACCAAAAGTAAGAGGTATTGGATCACCTAAAGAGTTTTTACCAGAGTTTATTTCACCTGAAGAATCCCCCCTCCTCCCCCCCCTCACCCAATCGAGGGATTAAACTATCATCCGAAAGGTGTTATTAATCCCTAATACTGTTAAACATCACCAAACATCATCCTCAAAGTGGTTAAATATCACTAAACATCACCCTCAAAGTGGTTAAACATCACCAAACATCATCCTCAAAGTGGTTAAACATCACTAAACATCATCCTCAAAGAGTTAAACATCACTAAACATCATCCTCAAAGAGTTAAACATCACTAAACATAATCCTCAAAGAGTTAAACATCACCAAACATAATCCTCAAAGTGGTTAAATATCACTAAACATCATCCTCAAAGAGTTAAACATCACTAAACATCATCCTCAAAGAGTTAAACATCACCAAACATAATCCTCAAAGAGTTAAACATCACTAAACATCATCCTCAAACAAAGACACGAACCAAACTAATCAATTCAAACTGTCTTGATCTCTTCCCGCGAGACAACGAGATATTTCCACAACGGCAATTACCACGAGGACAAAAAGTCTGATTTAATTACTTTTATATAATACGGGTAAGGTGTATCCTGGTGGCCTCGTCTCAGCAGGTACCAGGTAGGAAGTAGGATGCTCATTACTGAAACCAAACACCTGATATTTACCTGCTGCTTGCTGTTTATCTTGTTGTTGTTTGTAGTAGTAGCATGAATTATCACACACACACACACACACACACACACACACACACACACACACACACACACATAAAAGATAATCATACCCGTTGCCTCAGGTAGGGTTAGGGAGAGGAGGGAGGGCGTAGAGGAGGGAAGGAGGGATGAAAAGAAGATAAGGAAAGGTAAGATATAGAGAAGAGGGAGGGAAGGGGGAGAAGAGGGAGAGGGGGAAGGGAAAAGGAGGAGGTGGGAAAAGTAGAGAAGATAGGAGGTAGAGAGAGAGAGAGAGAGAAGAGGGGGGGTGAAGCAGCCAAACAAGAGAGTAAACAAATAAACAAAAACTAACATCCGGTAAATAACAACAACAACAACAAGCAAAAAGGCGCCAAATAACTATAGCTGATGAAGTAGAGTTTAAGGGTCTCTCTCTCTCTCTCTCTCTCTCTCTCTCTCTCTCTCTCTAGGGGTAGCAGCAGGTAAGGTGACATATACCATACACCTGTACAGCTTCGGGGCGAGAAGGTCACCATAGCCTTTATACAGTGGTGGTGGCCTGTAACTCCTCACCATGATACAGGTTAGGTGGCCTGTAGGAGTATGGGACACGACCTGTAATAACGCTATTTGATGTGACCTGCATTATTGTTGTTGTTGTTGTTTTTATTTATTATTATTACTCACATATATGATAATAAATTATAAGAAATAAATAGACGAAGGGCAGAGTTAAATTAAACCAGAGAGAGAGAGAGAGAGAGAGAGAGAGAGAGAGAGAGAGAGAGAGAGAGAGAGAGAGAGAAGGATTAAAATTATTGTAGTTAAAGCAGTAAGCGCTCCAGGCAGTGGGGATTTACCTCACCTGGCCTCTCTCTCTCTCTCTCTCTCTCTCTCTCTCTCTCTCTCTCTCTCTCTACTCCTAGATTTCTATTGTCTGTCTTTGAGGACTAATTTGAAGAAACACGTAACATATATTAAACACAGACCTTATACTGTAACACACACACACACACACACACACACACACACACACACACACACACACACACGAAACAACTTTTTTGTGGGGATTCTTTTTTTGTAAATTGTGAAGAAACTAGTTTGTCAAGGTTGAGGGGCGTTGTACTCTTCTGCGTCTGTTACTACAGGCACCACTACGACCACCACTACGACCACCACTACGACCACCACTACGACCAGTACTACGACCACCACTACGACCGTACTGACCACTACTACCACCACCCTACGACCACCACTACGACCACTACTACTACCACAACTACGACAGTACTACGACCAGTACTACGACCACCACTACGAGCCAGTACTACGACCACTACTACTACCACCACTACGACCACCACTACGACCACCGACCGCTATCACTACCACTAGACACCATGCAGTGCCCAATGAGGGAAGAGGGGCAGATGGGGAGGGAGGGAGAATGGAAGAGGAAGGAGAGGGGAGAAGAGATGGAAGAGGAAGAAAGAGGATGGGGAGGGGAGGAAGGGGTCAAGTTATTTGTACTGAAAGCTGTGGGGGAGTGAGTGGGTGTAGGGAGGAGTGGGTGGGTAAGTGGGCAGGGCAGGTGGGTGGGTGAGTAGGAAGTCGAGTGGGCGGGACATGAATGAGAGGGTGAGTGGGTGGAGCAGGAGTGGGTGGGGCAGGAGTGGGCGAGGTAGGAGTGGGTGGGTGAGTGGGCGAGGTAGGAAGGGGTGGGTGAGTGGGCGAGGTAGGAGTGGGTGGGTGAGTGGGCGAGGTAGGAGTGGGTGGGTGAGTGGGCGGAAAATACCTGGTTATTACGTCATCAACACTGCCTGAGAGTGGGGAAAGAGGACCAATCAAGAGACTGCAATAAAAAAAACCTTGACCAATCACAGACCAGGATACTAATACCAGCCAATAAGAAACAATGTATCAGATCGCATTGGTGACAAATCCCTTACTATAATTATCCAATGACTATAAATTAACCCATATATAAAGTAACCTTATAATATAAACAATATGTATGTTAAATCAATAAATCTAAATGAATATAAATACGTGAGAGATAATTAACGAAAATATCTAAAAATTAGTTCTGAATTAACTTTATATTCAGGATGGCTATATGACAACACCGAGACAGTTGCCACGTACCAAAATAAACACGATTTTTTTTTCTGGCTTTATATAAACATTTATCTGGAGGTAAAAACATTCTCAGAGTTCCCAACGCCAAAATTTTCCTCGGAAACGACAACAAAGCCGCTAAATAAGGCATTGATGTTTCAGATGTTGGCTTAAATGGCGTCAAAACTGTTCTCGTCTACAGATCCAAGGATGTTTGAAAAGCTAGATCGATGTGTGTGTGTGTGTGTGTTTGTGTTTGTGTGTGTGTGTGTGTGTGTGTGTTCGTGGATATTATTGAATGAATACACACACACACACACACAACAACAATTTACCTTTAATATGTAAAAAACACACACACTATTCTTTGTTTATACTCCCACAAACAAATAAAAACCTGTTTACCTGAACGTCTCTCGCTAAAACCAAATGTCATCTTCTTTAATCATAGTGGGCTGGGAGTGGGGGTGTGGGGGGTAGTTTGTGGTGTGTGGGGGGAGTTAGGATGGGGGTGTGGGGAGAGGATGGACGAAGGAGAGGAGGAGGAGGAGGGGGGGGAGGGGATGTTGGGGGGGCCGAAGGAGAGAAGTGGGGGCAGGAGGAGGGACTGAGAGAGAAGGGGGAGGGATCAGGAAGCGAAGGAGGAAGATGAGGAGGGAGGTAACCAGTCAGGTAACTCAGGTATATAAATAGTTGCCGTGTATGTGTGTTGACCAAGTCTCCTCCACGTCTCAGTCAAGTGTACACGCTCACTACTAAATACACTTCTTACTGTGTCTAGGTGTATCTCAACCAGGGAGTGTAGCAAGATCAACACCCCCCCTATCTCTCTCCCTCCCTCTTCTGTCTTCTAAAAGGTGTGTTGGTGATTTAATCTGTGTATATATTGTGTTTTAGTAATTAATGTTTAAGTTGTGTTCAGTCACTCATTTGATTATTATGGTCGTGGAATTTTGTATAATGATGAAAAAGTACCACGAACATGAAATCTCGATTGAATGTTTATCTTTTCATTTAATTATTTTAAAAGGTAAATGGAGTCAATTGACTTAACCTAACTTAACCAAAATTGATAAGTTAGATTAGTTTAGGCTCGTGGTGATTGAAAAGACAAATAAATAGAAACAATGAATAGTGCAGTGGATTCCGTTCGTGGTACTTTTTTCAACAGTGTACTATGTTTTCTTTGTCTTTCTAAGTGCAACATTAGACAGAAATCCAAGACCATGTTTATATAAAGGTGTTGACCAATGTTGAGGTGTTGTCCTGTCTAAATGGACGGACAAGGAAGAGATTAGAGAACTCCCTGTTTAATCCATCACCTTATAGCGTCTCTCTCGTGTTGCCTGTCTAACATAATGTAAGAATTGTCATTGACGGGCTCTGTATTGAAGGAAAATATGGACAGATAGCTACCCGTCTCCTTACCGTCCAAGGGAGTACACATAACTCTTCACTTGTGCCTTTTGATGTTTGTGTTTGAGGGGAGAGAGAGAGAGAGAGAGAGATGGGGAGACAGATGGCTACCCAGCTGTCTACCTCCTGTCTATTAATAAACGCAGTATCCAAGCAGCAGCTGTCTAGTTGTGCTGTTCCTTATGTAGTTCTCTGTCTGTCTATATATCTATCTATTTGGTCACCGTCTGTACAGCCTGTCATATCCCCAGTTCAATAGACAGTTGAACCACCTGTCATATCACGAAGACAGTCATAATATGTAGTACAAGGTTGACAGGAATGACTCAGTGTTTTTACATTAGTGGTGGTGGTGGTGGTAATTGTGGTGGTGGTGGTGGTAATTGTGGTGGTGGTGGTGGTAATACAAAAATGTAATAATAACAACAACAATTCTATATAACATAAACCAGATGTATAACATAAACCGTAATTAAAACCATAAAAAACCCTATTTAAAACCGTATCATCAGTAACATAAACCTGTTCTATAAAATCAACAAGGAGATGTTTTACAACCTACAAATTTCGCGGCCAAAAACGTGTATAAACTGACCAGAATTTTGGGGGGTGAGAAAGATAATTTGACGCGGCCGCAATGCCCTTGGACACTACATAGAGGAGACTTTGCCATTCCTTCCATGTACACCTTCCACCCCACCCACCCACCCACCCACCCACCCACCCCACCCCACCCATCCTCTGCCAAACCCTCCACACACACACATACCTCCCACACCCCTTCCACGTACCACTTTCCCCCACACCCCTACCTTTCCCCACCCCTTTCTCTCTCGTCTCCCCCTTTCCCCCACCCCCACACCCTTTTCTCCTCGTCTCCCCCCCTTTCCCCCACACCCCTACCTCCTCCTCTCCCCACGCCCCTCAATGCCTTGGGGATATTTTTCATAACCTCAGCATGACTCGGGAAATAAAATAATTACCTCTCCTCACAGTCGTCGCTTTAAAGCTCAAGTTGTCGTTCCCAAGCACAACAACAACAACAACACCTTAAACACACGCACACACAAAAAACAAAATCCACACAGCAATAGAAATCCAATACGAATATCCACACAGAGAAAAACACACACACACACACACACAAACACACTAACCACACCAGAACATCATGCTAAGTAAGAGTTTGTGTTGACGATAAGGGTAGTATTTTTAATCACAACAAGACCTCAGAAATTTACCAAGATTCATAGCTTAAAAACACAAACAAAAACATTAATTCTGTAATGGTTTTAAGTCTTATTTACATCTCCTCTCTGAATTAAACTCATAGAGAAGAAATATGACGTCATTTTTTGTTTACTAAGGCTGTTCGTCGAGATTGGTGGCGTTTTTGTATCCGGATTTAAGGTTTGTGAAGTTTGTTGTAGTAAGCGTCTTGAGGATCCAGTTTGATTTTATGTAACTATTTTATACCTACAGGTTTCAGTCTCTTGGATTTCCCCTTTTATTGCTTGTGTGACCAGCTTGTTGTTGTTGTTGTTTGTGTGAGTGTGTGCGATGGCCTCTCTCTCTCTCTCTCTCACTCTCCCTCCTACCCCCTTATCACCTCTCTCTCTCTCTCTCTCTCTCTCTCTCTCCCTCCTACCCCCTCCCCCCTCCCTCCCAGCCCATTACCACACCCCCCTAACACACACACACATCTTCACTACAGGATGAGGACCTTGCTGCTGGTGGCGATGACGGTGGCGGTGGTGGTGGCAGGCGGGGAAGTCCAGGAAGAGAGCCACTCAAGATACAAGCGGCAGTGTAAGTTATTAAGTGTGTGTGTGTGTGTGTGTGTGTGTGTGTGTGTAAGTGTGTGTGTGTGTGTGTGTGTGTGTGTGTAAGTGTGTGTGTGTATGTAAAGTATGTGTGTGTAAGTGTGTGTGTGTGTGTGTGTGTGTGTGTAAGTGTGTGTGTGTGTGTAATTCCTGTTTTTGTTTAAGTGTTTGTGTAAGATTTTATGAGTGTGTAAGTATGTAAGTATCTGTATTATTAAGTACCTGTGTAAGTGTCTAAAAAAAGTATATATTTAACTCTATAACAGTGTTTAAGTGCTTGTGTAAGTGTGTATGTATAAAATATCACTGTACATATATATTGGTGTACACATATAACAGTGTACAGTACATATGTAAGAGTGTGTACAGTTGTACACATGTAACATAATACTAACCCGTGTACGTTTCTCTAACAGCAGGAAGACGCCAGAACTTCGGCTCTCACGGTAAGAATTTCCTTGATCTACTTAAGTAAGGTTAGGTTACTGGTAAATTAGTTTGGGTTAGGTTAGGTTACTTTAATTTCTATTCATTTAGGTTCACGAGAAATGGTAATAATTGCAAATGTTATTTTCTCAAATGTTTATATTAATGTCATTGTTAATATCACTTTTTTTTTTACTTTTAATGACATTTTATTGTTAGTTTTAAAATGTTAAAATCAACCACGAAAGAGGAAATAGAAGAAAATAGATGATAAAATAAGGGAATAATAGACATAGGTAATAAACAGGTGTAAATGACAGGTGTTCATTAATTACTCCACCCCCCACCCACAGGTAGGCCGGGTCGCGGTCGACCATTTGGCTCTAGCCCCCAGAAGTTCGTCAGAGGTGAGTGTCTGTCTGTCTGCGTCTTCCTCTGCTGTCTGTCTGTGTGTCTGTCATTCTATCTGGTATTTCTGTTTCTCTTTCCTTCTGTCTGTCTGTCTGTCACTCTCCCTATGTCTTCTGTCTGTCTGTCCTTATTTCTGTCTATCTATCATTCTCTCTGACTTTATTTACCTGTCTATTTTATCTCTCAGACTCAGGTAAAAGTTAAGGTTATGTCATTATTGTAATATTATCAATAACATGGCTGTAATGCGAAACGTAATTAAGCTAAT